ACTAAATGGCTAATGATAACTATCATAAAGCCTGCTATTTTATATAAATGGTAGGCGTTTCGCTAGTTATCATTAGCCCTTTGGCTGACTTCGGACTTCGAAGAGGGGAGGAGGAACATCAAAGTGACAAAAAGTCGAGAGGGGAACAGAAGAGGAGGAACATCAAAGTGACAAAAAGTCGAGAGGGGGGGGGGACAGAATGATGATTCACAGATTTAAAATTGACAAACAAGCGCAAATACAGAGTTAAGGCAAGATGAGTACTGTGGAAGGGGTCGAATATGACATAGAGTGGGGTCATGGTATTTTGAAGTCAGATGTCAATTGTCGATTAATAGACATTTTGCCGTACGAGAATACGTTGTCCAGTGTGCACCACGTGGAGGTAAATCTATCGCACACCCCTGATATAAATAAATAAATGCCTGACCTATTGTGAAGGTCAGGAATTCGATCAAGCTCTTCAGCTAATTTGTCTAGATCAGCTTGTCGGGTGCTCAGTGCCAACATTGACGTAAATCCTTCAAAATTTTCCCTTCGCACTGTTCCCGTTAACTAAAAAGGGCATGTGTCGTGAATTATAGATAAACTGTGCTCTACTAAATCGACTAGCAGGAGAAGTTGTGGAAGACGTATCTCCTGAGAAACAGATGGATGACTGAAAACACTAGATGGTTGCTGGAGCATCATCGATAATGGCAAAAACTAGTGAGGCTTCATTGAATGGCGGAGCAGCGATAGTATGCAAAAACACAGAATCCTCTGTTTGATAACACTACTTAATTTGAGGTTACCTTCAATTTGTACGACAGTGGAAAACCAGGTAGAGGAACCCATTATCCTCACACCCAAAAATCTTCTTCCTTCGATAGTCCGTGAAAATGTGAGTTGGCGAAAGACGGTAGACGAAAAACTGGTGACAACTGTTGAAGGAGGACGCGGATCCCGAAGTATTTTGTGCGATATGAAAATACATCCCAGTGCCAGGGAGAAATTGGTTCTAGGTTGAGCAGATCGAATGAAGCTCAGCATATCATATCAGGGTTAGTAGATCACGACAAAATCACCAATTAGGCAGCCAATTACTGCACTAATAAACCATCCATTATGCTCAGTAACCTCTATGGTAGATTCTCCTTGTTTGGAATAGAACCCGGAAGTAACTAAGTTACCGTAAAGTTATAGAGAAAGAAGTTCTCGGTTGAGCGAGAGCTGTATTCAGTATTGGTGTAATTAATTCGATATTGGCTGAGTACTTCAGTAGTTATGAAGATGGTTTAGTGACTTAATCTAGAATAATTATCAAATTTCGACAAACTTATGCCACCGGCTCATTTACTATGATGATGGCAAGACAAGCACCCAAGCACACTGAATCTTGCCACCTTCCTGATTAACGAGTATCAACCTTTTCCTTTCCAATTTGTAGCGAACTGCTACGCTAGTAAAGCCTGACTGACTCAGAAATATCAGTGGCAGATTCTCCTACATCTACTTAGACTCCCAGAACCAGCTAATACAGACGTGTAGCACGGAGCACGTTTATTCAGTACGTATATCGCGGCATGGTGTACACGCAGGGAGTTAATCATGATCAGGATGGCGGATCAGGTTAAACAAACAGATAATCATGATCAGGATGGCGGATTAGGTTAAACAAACAGAGTGCGCGATAGACTTACCTCCGCGTGGTGCACCCTGGGCTAAAAGGTCTATCAATCTGTAGTTGACTCCTCACTTCAAACTACCATCATCTCACTGTATGTCATATTCGACAACTTCCATATTACTCACCTCACCTTTTTTCTACCTTTGTGTCTATCACTTTTACATCTTTGAAACGCTCTTCTATTCCCACCCCCTTCTCGACTTTTTTTCACTTTGTTGTTCATTCCCCTCTGTGAAGCCTGAAGTCAACTAAAGAGCTAATAATAATTATCAAAATGCCTGCCATTTGATATAAATAAATAAGATTAAACAGAGGTTAATGATTGATCACTGTTTGTACGGACGCACCTCCCAATCCTGCCGTGCAGGCATGGATGACGTGTCCAACAAATTCAAAGGTTAAGTTATATACTTTAATTCTCTTCCTCATTTGACTCAGCTCTCGCTCCTCGTTCTGCTTTTGAAAAATAATTATTTCGTATAAGTTTGTTTGCTTTCGTCACTTAACACTCGAATATCAAGCCTTAATCTATTCCTCAGAATATGGTCTCTGTGATTCAGTGTTCTATTTCCACTTTCCCAAGAAGATTTTAAGAAAATCTTTAAATCATTAATGTTAGTAAATTCGTGATTGAGTTGGTGTTAAATATAATAAATGCTCTTTGAATAATGCAAAATTTTTAAATTTTTGGACTTATTGAATCTTGCCACCGAAAATAACAATCTGATGCCACTCAGAGTGTAATTTAACAAATTTTTAGAGATTTCAACAAAATGCTAGAATAATATACTTGGATATATGCCTGTTGGTATCCACGTGAATGAATGCATCGGGAAGCCTCTCGTGAAGTTTATTAGAAAACTTTCTCCGATGAATTGAAATGCAAATCCATACGGAGACTGGACGTCCGGATCCATCTAAATAAATGTGACGCACAAGTGCGTGCGAGTAATGCTTTGATGTAGGATGCGCGAGGAATTAGGTCAAGCGCACAGTCGTTTTAACTAGCTGAGGAGATCAGACCTCCTGTCACCGACGGTTTATTGCCAATATTGAAAGGTGGCACTAGTCTTGTCATATTAATGAATATTTCTTAAGTATTAGCCTTCATTAAGCTTTTCAAATATGGCAATCTCTCTCACTCACCCAACATCCGTACCTTTATTAATTGCAGAACTTTAAATCGTATCGGTCGTAGAGCTTATGAATGGCTTCGCCTTGCACAGTTGACTTGAGTGTATGTTTACAGGCTTTGCAAGTGTTCAGTTACACAGGCTATTCCCGTCATAAGCACTTGTCATGTAATTCTACTTCGTCTAAACAAAACGTTAACTTCTCCAAATTTGGCTTAACTACCACATATTTAAACAAGACCCGATAAGTTGGGCTTCAATAAGGATGGATGTCACTATCGTTGGCGACATTATGAATGATCTCTTCACGTAAGTGCAGAAATTCAGTACGTTTCAATGGAATTTCTAATAGTTATTCTACTGAATTGCCAGTAGTAGGGGAGACCATCATGGGCGATATGTTTCAATCGTGTTTGGGAGGGACTGGTGCCAATCAAGCAGTAGCAGCCTCCAAGCTAGGTGCCAAGGTCTCCCTCATTGCCACAGTCAGTAGATTTCCATTTGACTGATTGAATTTTAACTTACAGGTTGGTGCTGATTCTTTTGGGTGTTATTGTATCGAATCATTGAAGAAAGCTGGAATCTATACAAGTACGTACCAGAATGCAAAATAATTAACCATGATCACATTTGCTTATCTATCTTTATCTTTTTTGGAAATGTTGTCAGACTTTTTGACTTTGGCTCACTGAATAATTGAAAATTTTTCTTTTATTTTGGTATTAAACTCGAATTTCAACTGAAACACGAACTGTTAATATCATCAATAAATTTTGTCAACAATATACAACAGATTATTTCCGATAAAGCACTTGTATCATCAAAATAAAGAGAAGATTTCGATAATAGGTGCGATACGTCAGAGTAAAGATGGAAAAACTGGGATGGGAATGATAATGGTGAATTCGAGAACTGGAGAGAATCAAATAGTAGCTGTACTTGGATCTAACGATGAGGTCGCCATTTCTGACGTCGATCATGCAGTTCGATCAAAGGAATTTTCTCGAAAGCTACTTTCATGCCAATTTGAAGTGAGTTTATTACTATTATTAAGAAATTTGTTCATAATAAAGGCTAATCTTACCTGCCAACCAATTTCCTGCAACTGTTATTTTTAAATCAAACGGAAAAACAAACTGCTATTAAAACAAACTGAATGCCCAGTCGGTTGCTTTTTCTTATGGTAGTAATAGTTATATCAAATTGGAGGATTTATGATAGTTATTATTAGCCCTTTAGTGGTTTACTTCGGGGCTTCACAGAAGGGAGAAATGTCAAAGTCACAAAAAGTGGAGAGGAGGAACAGAAGAGTGATTCACAGATGTAAAGGAGGCAGGCATACAGGGAGAGCAAAAGGTAAGTTGAGTACTGTGAAAGTGGTCAAATGTGGTATACAGTTGGATTGTAAGAGTTTGAAGTCACCTGCAGGTGCTTTTAGACTTATGTCGTATGTAGAATACGTTGCCCAGTGTCCAGAACGTGGAGGAAAGCCTATCGTACACACCGTGATAGGAATATCTAGTGAGAATTAGAGTAGAGATTGGAAAGTTTGATTCTATAGGGATTGGAATTATTTTGCTGATTTCATTTACTTTACAGTCGAACGCAGAAACCAGTTTGTACGCTTTAGAGAAGGCACATTCAGAAGGCATATTGACACTGCTTGATCCAGCCCCTGGCCCAACTCCTGATTCTCCATTTTATCACTTGCTACCACGATTCCTAGCTGCTGCTACTGTTGCATCGCCAAACGAGCTAGAGGCTTCAGCACTAACAGGTGAGGCCATTCCATGCTTCAGAATGAATGCGACATCCGATGAGATCTTGGAAGGTACTAGGGGTGGATTGGTGGCTCTTCGAAAATTTGGAGTCAAATATCCCATCATAACTCTGGCGAATAATGGAGCGGCCTCAATTTTGCCACCTTCTGAAATCCAGCATCCTTTACCACTTGACGTTTATGTCGCAAAGAATAATCTTTCGCAAGATGGAGTTCTTATACACAGTAAAGCTCCGTTTATTAAAAATGCAATCGATTCTACTGTAAGTGAAAATGTTTCCCAATTAGAAAGGAACATTAATATAAATGTAATGAATATTTTGCCTTTTAAATAGGGGGCTGGTGACTGTTTTACGGGCAGTCTGGCTTTCTTCATGTCGAAGTATCCTCACCTATCAATGATGGAGAAAATACGGCGAGCAGTGTGGATTGCCTCACAGTCTGTAAAGCGATGCGGAACACAATCAAGTTACCCTATTAAAGATGAGCTGCCGAGTTCGATTTTTCATGAAATTGAGAGCTTCCAGTGGCCCAATAATGACTAAATCTTTAGTTTGTTTGCCGTTTTCTTTCAATAAGTCCTAACGTTGCAATTCGATTCGTTCAAAGTATTAAAAATGCTTTAAATTTACATGACAGAAATTTCCCCTGAAGTGATATTGTGCATTAAAGTTTGTGGGAAGGAGGAGAAGTTAAAGTGCCAAGAAAAAGTTAAATTAAAAGAATTAACAAAAGTCTTTAGTTAACGATAATATCACCAAGCGTATGTTCTTTCCCATTTATATGGAGAATAAAGTTTGGCTGTGCAATCACTTTTGACCTAATAACACGAGCTTGTGCATAGGAGAGAGCTCTGGAGACACCGAAAGTATTTGATTAAAGTTCTTTGAATTCAATATAACTGTGTCCTCTTTCTGCTGCAAATTTAATGTTTATATTTTTCGGATTGTGGGGAGGAATCGTACCATAATAGTAATAATATTATCAAGGATCTAGTTGGAATTGGGCAATGATAAATTTCACTGTAGGACTAATAATGATAATGGTATAGGGCTAATAAATCGTAAACGATTATATCCAATAGAAAGCTTAAGTCTAATAAGCTAAAATTTACAATTCATACATCCATTTCATATACAAGATTCAAAATTGCTTAATTAATACTTCAAAATAGTGAAAGTGGTGTATTTGAATTTTCTCAAACATACCACTTTTTCTCCTAGTTTAAAACAAGGAAATTTTATTTAGTGAAATGCACTTTGAATGTCTAAATCATACCTATATTTGGGAAACCATGACTTGGCATGTATTGATACATTGCTTTGTGTTTCAGATACCCACTGAAAATTCTATTATCGCATTGCGTCTTCATTTTCTAGATTTACTAACACCGGAAAAATAAGACATTTTACGATTGATGGAAAGTTTCAATTTGAAGTATTTTTCAAGACTATAAGTTAAGTATAAATCTAACTTAAATTTGAATTCTGCATGGAAAACAAAAATTAATTCCTCATAACCAGCCTATATGTCAAATTACTTGATCAAATATGAACTTAACCGACTTGTAGCAGTATATTTTAACTCATAGGTTTCCTAATATTTAAATGGCTGGGAATATGTCCTAGAAATGTGTAAATAGTCAATGATTGCAACAAATTAAAAATAGCTCAAAAAACCATACGATCATTAATATGTGTCTAAGATATCCCATCAATTTTGAGGTTGAAATATTCTTCATAAAAAAAAATATTTTGGTAATAAATAGTAGGGGTATGTGCAATTCAGAGGGATATAAATGTAAGCAGAATAAGTAATTTCGAAAGAATGACAAATATTATTTTACTTTGATGTTTTAATTCACAACTGCATTTATATTCGAAGAAATTTTAATTTATTTTGCGAATCAAAATATTACATACTTTGGAGTTATCGCCATTGACATATAAGTTTAGCCTGGCTTGTTCGTTATGAAGTAGATTTTTACAAATAGGTGAAATTTGCAGGCAATGCCATTGATTATAAACGAGAATATAAATCATTCATATTAACAATCAATTAGAACATGTTTAATGTATTATAAAAGAAGATTTGAACATCGTTTTTTTTCGGTTTAATTTTCCGATGTTTGATTCAAAAATTAATAGTTTTCTAGCAAGATATTTTAGTCAAACTAATATTTAGAAATTTTAGAAGACTTAAGTGCCACAGAAATACACAAATAAAGCTTATATATTATTGAATGTTTCTATACAAATTACAATGCAATATATAATGAACTCAATAAGTTGTTGTTGTTTGAATAGACATTCAAGTGCACGCGTTCTCCGTGAGGCAGTTTGTTGCCTTTTATCTTGCATGTGAGTGGCAGGAGGTCGTATAACACTCTTAAATTATTTATTTCGATCAATGCCTTGAAGTAATATTATGGATCTTTTTACTCTTTAGAAAATATCGGAAGTATGAATTCAGACGATCTTACCTGGCAGCTAATTAGCAAATCCTTTTGTTCCTATATGGTAAAAACCAAAACAGGCAAATTCTGTCGGAATGAAGAAAACGTAACTGGATTATGTAATCGTCATTCATGCCCCCTCTCAAACTCTCAGTATGCTACAATTAAGGAAAAAGATGGCATTATTTATCTCTATGTACGAGCAGCTGAGCGTGTTCCGTATCCTTCCAAACAGTGGGAACGCATTAAGCTAAAGAAGAACGAAGAGCAAGCCATCCAACAGATAAACGAGCATCTGCGTTACTGGGATCGCTGGATTCGTACCCGGGTTAAGCTACGTTATATTCGAACCCGCGATTATCTCAAGCGCATGCGACGTCTTGCCCTTGCTCGAAAGAAGAAGATCGAAACCATCAATAAGAAGTCGGAGCGCCGTGAACTGAGACGAGAAGAGAAGGCTCTCCGTGTTGCTAAATTATCGCGTACAGTAGAGAATGAGCTCCTTGAACGATTGCGTGCAGCCACATCTTCCAAGGAAGTCTACAATATCGATCAGTCGGCATTTGAAAAGGCTCTTGAAACTGAAGAGTTGAATGAAGAAATTGAAGAGGAAGATATTTCAGAAGATGAAGGTGAAGAAGAAGTTGTCTACACTTCGGGATCTGAATTGGAAGAAAGTGATATTGAAGATCTTGGAGTGCCGGAAGACGAGGAAAGTGAACCGGAATTGGTTACCATTGGTGCTGGTCCCTCTTCCTCTAAGAGGAGGAATGTTAAGATTACTTACGAAAAGGATGAAGATTTATAAACCTCTTGTGAATGGTTACTGTGTACATATTGTAATAGAAGTATAATTTCTTTACTATTTTACTTTGATGCTCATTCTACCCTATTGCCATTTTGTACATATACGTCCTTTATATTTTTATATCTAGCCATTTTAAATTATTAGTTGCGACGCATTTCCTTTATGTTGATAAATATTGTGTTTTCGAAAGTATGATATTTCTTCAAAAAGTGGTATGATTTCCAAGCCGTTTGAATTGTATTTCAACGTTTTGATGAGTTAATTCTGCGGCAAGCCCGTAACTTTCCACTGATTGCTACGTACAATTGAAAAGCAGATTAGCGATAAATAATATGGTGCATTGTGTCATGGGTCAAAATTTTCTCAGTACTCAGGATACATATATATACTGAATTAAGGTGAAAGCGCGACCAAGTCCTCGATAACGTGAATTAAGGACGGAGTTGACTGCCTATATCTTTCCCAGTGCATAAGCAATTATATTATACAATAGAAATGTAGTGAATGAATTTTATTATTGTCTGTAGTTATGGGTCAGAATGTGCTTTCCCCTAATGTTAACTTCACGATATAAGGGGCGTTGAGATCGTCCATCATGTTCATTTACGAAACTTAGAATTTTACGCACTTTTGCGGTTTAAGCGTCTTTTGGTGTGAATGCTTCTTCCAACTTTGACCGTCCTTGAATAGAAGGCCTTTTCTAGGTATGTATTCGTCTAAGTTGCACTGTCTACTAATAGTAGCGATTTCTTAAGTTCTCACTTGAAGAAGTATGTTATTCGTTATCTGTTCAAATGCAAATCATTCCGTCTAAGATAGAAATCAAAAAGCATTGAAACTTTAGAAAGTAATTTTAATGGTCTTCAAAATATGTTCTAAGTATTTAGCCCCCCTCCCTCATGTTATTAAAAGAGTTTCTATTCTACCTCGTTATTTCATACTATTTACCTCTACTTAAATGGGGTGTGCGATAGACTTACCTCCACGTAGTGCACCCTGGGCAACGTATACTTATACGACAAAAAGTTTATTTATCGGTAATTGACTTCTGACTTCAAACTATTATGACCTGACTCTGTCATATTCGACCCCTTTCACAGTACTCATCTTACCTTTTCTCTGCCTTTGTGTGTCTGTCTCTGTCACATCTGTGAATCATCATTCTGTCCCCCCCCCCTCTCGACTTTTTGTCACTTTGATGTTCCTCCTCCCCTCTTCGAAGTCCGAAGTCAGCCAAAGGGCTAATGATAACTAGCGAAACGCCTACCATTTATATAAAATAGCAGGCTTTATGATAGTTATCATTAGCCATTTAGTGGTTGACTTCGAGGCTTCACAGAGGGGAGAAATATCAAAGTCACAAAATGTGGAAAGGGGGACCAGACGAGTGTTTCAAAGATGTAATAGAGACAGACAGGTACAAAGGTAATGAAAAAAGTAATGTGAGGACTGTGGAAGTGGTCGTATATGCCATACTGTGGGGTCATAGTAGTTTGAAGTTAGAAGTCAACCGCCAGTTTATTGACTTTTTTCCATATCTTTTTACGTTGCCCAGGTTGCTCCACGTAGAGGCAAGTCTATCGCGCACCCCAGGCCAGGCATTAATGCGTTTAAATCTTCGGTCCCCGTTGTTACTAACACGCTGCAAACTGACGTCACCTCTGAGCTGGTCGGTGGCGTTTTACGCTTGATGGTTTGCAGTATAGTATACGGTGATGGTATTTGTGTAAACGTTCACAAGTTGATGGAAACCTTCCCTATAGTAAAATGGCAAATGAATGGGATATAATAAATCATGGAGTTTTAATGATTAAAACGTGCTTATGAGATGAAGTGGGCTTAATGTATAGGTGATCTGAGGAGAATAAAGCGAATGATTCACACATAAGAGCGCTTTGAGGATTAACACCGAGAGATTGATAGATCCAACTACCTTAAACTGAAATTAAAATTGCGGTATTATAGCGCATATTCAATTGCATATCAAAATGGTTTATTTAGAAGCACCATCATACATTTCTGGTGGCTGTAACTACTTGTATCAGGGCGTAATTTAAATCATATTCGGAAGAATGACACCTCTAATTACTAGTAACACTTTCGTCAACATGACAGTACAAAATGTGAAATTGACTGAACCCCGCATTTCTCGACATAGAATCGTAGCAATATGGATTGAGAACGGTATGTTGATCTAACAATTTAAATGGGGTTATTTGAGGAACAAAAATAATAAATACAAGTTCTTAATACATATGTCGGGGTTGTAAAGCAAAAGTGAAGGTAAAGAAGTATTAGGGTGTTTTCCTAAACCATGAATATCTAGTTTTTCAAGGAATAGAAGTATTCTTTGGTTTCATGTAAAGTTACGTTAATGGTGATGCAATAATACAAATGCTTAATTGGAGTATAACTGAGTAGGAGCAGTACTTATTTCATATTCACGTGTTTGCATGTGCATGTATTTTTAAGCCGGTTTTTTAACGAAGTTGACTCAACCAAGATATTTACAGGTATTATTCAAGGTTTACTTTCATGTTACTTGCAAATACATACCTGAAGTTTTACTTATTGATAACACTGTGAACATCCCATTCATTATCTGGAATTGCCTATGTTTGGTCTAACTGTACGCCGTAGTTTATTGTTAATAAGTAAAAGTTTTTGGACCCTAAAAGCTTGTCTAATCGTAACATTAAAAATTGAGAAATAATTCAACCTTATAATGCAATTTTTTCAAGTTATGCTAATGTATTTTAATTTGAATAAAATTTGAAGAACCAATTGGCTGCATTTTCGACCGAATTTTGTACTTAGTAACATATTAGGCCAAGTGTGATAAGAAAGGCCCAAGGTATGATTTTTAATAATTTAAAACCGTGAACACTATAAATAAATTTTAGCCTTGAAGAAAAAAGAGGGAATCGGATTTAAGAACTTAGATATGTCAGTTATAGCTAAACATGCTTAAGAAATTGATGTGAGTGTCCAAAATATGTGATCAAAAAAATTGAGATAAAATTTCTAAGATTGTGTTTCTGATATATAAAACTGAGATGCAATCAGAACAATTTATTTAGAAGAAATGTGGAGGAAAATAGGTGGAGGTGAAATAGGTATTCGGTCTATATTTTTAAATTATTTACTATTCAGAGAGATAAATAAAGGGAAGCCAACTATTAATTCTAACAGGGTTAATTTTGGAGCATTCTTCATTTGCGAAATGCAAAGTGATATATATTATTATTGCAATATCAACTAAACATAAGTTTGCTTATGCGAATTAATTGGATTTTAATATGTTGCACATACTTTGAGGTGAACAAGAATGAGTTTTTTTATGGAGATTTGTTTTCTTTCTTGCCACCCGCTTATCGACATGGCAAATTGAGCTTTCTTGAGATTAGTAAATTCTAATTGACGTACTGATGGTCTGTTTGGATCATTATTAGTTTAAGTAGACACTAGAGTAGATTGACATAGTTCTTAGTGGCTTCGGTCAGACGTAGGCGGAATGACCATCTGGTCTCATCACTTGCCATCTTTGTGCCTTTTGGTAATTGTTTGCGTATTTCACACATCCTATAGACTTTACTCCCTTGACCAACATTTCGCACTCGATTTGTGCTTACATTCACCTTCTGATCTTTCGAATAGTCAATTCCAATTTTCAGTTACACAATTTCTTCCTGGTGCCCGGTATGACTTTGGCTCTTTACTCAACTTCGGGACTTTCGATTTGGGGTG